TTAACAATGAACCCACTGGTGGGTCAAACTGAGTTCACCCGTGGGCATACTATGACCCCCCGGCTGCCAGTTGAATAGTCCTGTTTTATACTATTGCAGAGAAACGTGTTTCTTATATATGTGTATTTAACGGGGGTTAAGGATCAGTGGAGGGGTAGTATCTTTTTCTAGCTTCCTCAAGGCATCCTAGACTGGTCTCCCTATATCCAGCACCCTGTGATGCATAACACATGATCACTTAACAGCTGATCACATGACCAACCATGTGCCCTGCTCATGATGCCTCTGTTACCATCACAAAATGTGGCAGATCTTGGGGGAACAAACCCTGAAAATAAATCCCACTTCACATACTGGTTGTTCAACAAGTTCTATCTGTGACTGTGTCAGCCCTGCTGTCCCGTCAAACAACAGGGATTACTTGCGGAGGGACTCTATTTATGCACCATTTAGTGTCAACATCAGAGGTGCAGCCTGATTAATATTACAGGAGATTTGGTTGATGCTACGAGGTAACCATCGCCCCACGGCAGCCGTGGAGGAAACTATGCAAAGTCAAGATGAATATTACTGCATCCAGAGTGACTGGTGGAAACAGACCAACTAGAGTCCATGAAAAAAGGAGACAGGCAACTCTCAACGTTGCAGCCTGGGATGTTCACACTAAATGACATTGATGACAGTATTAGACCAGAACGAGACAGTGAAATTATTTGCAGCAAGCTAGAAAAGACAAACATAGACACCCAGACTCTGGAAACATCCAAGAAAAGGTTACGCAATTTTCAGGAGTGGTGGCGCCGACAAAACTGCAGGTGTTATTTTCTCCATATTCAATACATTTAATAATATCAATCCAGAAGCTATAATGGCAGACTAATGACAGCTCAGATCCCTCTCAAGGACAACAATCATCTCACCCTGATTAATGTTTATGCACCAGCAATGCAGCATTCAGTGGTTGAGGAGAGGCTTGGTGAATATATTGTCAAGGCTAAAGGAGACAGTGTAATTCTCTTGAGTGACTTCAATGCTTGCATTGGGAAGGAGCTGCAGTTGTGGCCCTCACTCATTGAAGAAGAACTTGAATGGCTTCCAGCTACTTGAATTTTGCACATGCTTTGACCTCTTAATAATGGGAACGATGTTCCAGCTCAAAAACCACCTTAAGAATACCTGGCAACATTAGTGCTCTAAACACTAGCACCATATTGACCAAGTGCCAGTGATTAAAACAGCCTGACAGTTTATCATGACAAAGATCGACCCCACAGCAGATTGATTTACAGATCATAAACTTATCACAAAATGTTTTATAGTAAAGAAGGGGGGAAGAAAAAGACAAAATCACCATCAAAACCAGATCCTGGATGATCTGAAGAAAGTGCTTCATCATGCTGCCAAACATGTCTTTGGTTCTACGACCATGCAGGTGAGATACAAAGACTCCTAAAGGACACCAACCAATGTGGAGATGAGAAAACACAGGAAACAAATCAGGAATCTTAATGGTTGTAAGGAAAATCCTCTCAGGTGGAGCAATATACAGGGACAGAAGAATCACCAAGACCTACAAACCTGCTTCCAGTTAGAACAAAGGGTGGCGTCTTCTCTCATCATCTGAGAATATCAAAAACTGATGGTTTGAGCACTTCAGTGAACTTCTTAACCAACCGAACCAAGAGATGTCGAATGGGGCATTCTTGGTGATATTGTGACTATTGCGTAACTTGATGATCCATTCACCATGGAAGAGATTGAGAAAAGAATTAACACTAAACTCAGATGATGCTTCACCAGAGATTGTGCATGGTGGCAATACTCCAAAATCCTTTGTTGACTACCTTTAAACTTTTATGATCAACAGAAGATTTACCACCCGACAGGATTGACAACATGCGCAATCTTTTCAAGAAAGGTGATCGCAGTCAGTGCGGCAACAAACGGGGGAATATCTCCGCTCAAGTGTTGTAGGAAGTCTTTGGTGACGTCTTCCTTCAGAGGCATCGGTGACTGTCTGAGCAGGTTTATCCTGACTTTCAGTCAGGATACAGAAGAAATGAAGCACCATCAAGAGCATGTTCACTTTGCATCAGATCATGGAGAAGTGAAGCAGGAACAAGTCACATACCTGTATATGCATATACTGTGTGTGTGTGGATTTATTTCCTTTCGGCTGCTCCCTTCTTCAGAGGTCACCACAGCGAACTAACTCGCATGGAGACTTGGTAATTGTTTTTTCCCCGGATGTCCTTCCTGACGCAACCACAGACCACCGAGCTACCACAGCCCTCTGTGTGGAGCAGAGAGCTGCTAGCTAGGGTGTCCAGTAACAGATGGTGGGGGTTAAGGGCCTTGCTTAAGGGCCTAGAGTGGGGCAAACGAGGGTGGAGGCAGCTGCTTCGCCCTTCCCACCCACATTTTGTCAAAGGCTAATTAAAGGTGAGCGTTATAACTCATGGCTCAATTTGGGAATATTTAATTTAAAGTAGGATTTTAGCCAAGTCAGATTATTTACTTTTAAAATGAAATATTTTTTTTAGAACCCTAAAAGGCAGATTTCTTCATCAGTTTAATGCATTTATACTTTTTAGGAGTTTATTTCAGGTCTCTCTTGTAAGAGTCCCCAAGGCTCAAGGGGATTAACCTGTATAAATAAAGGTTGAATGAATTTAATAAACTGCAGCGTAGGTTCTAGTCCAAATAATCATGAAGTGTTTCCTTCATTGAACCGGACCCTCAGCTCGTGGATTAAATAAGAGAAATAAAAACTTGAAGCAAAAGCTTTATTCCGTCTTTTATTAGAGTATGTTTGTAGGGAGTCATTCAAATGGACAGGAAACATTTCAGTCCTACTTTGTAATGCTTTATAATGTTAACAGGGATTTTCAATAATGGAGTTGTTCACATGCAGCTATGCCCAACATAAAATAACCTGCCAAAATAAAAAAAATCTGTGGTATTGGAGAACAGTTAAGAAACTTAAAAAGTACAAATTTTATTTTGCATTTTTTAAAGGCATATAATTACCATTTAAAGTGACAAAACTTAAAAAAGTTAATGTTATTGACATTAGTGAATGCAAATATTTTTGTGAATGCAAAGAAACATCAGAAATAAAATGTGCATTTCACTTGAAAAACTAACTCTGCTCAACCAGTGCTCGTTTGCTCCAGTGCGCCCTCTAGTGGCTGACAGATGAAAACCCTTTCAGGTTCAGAAAAAATAAATAAGACAAGTGGTTAGAAAAATAAAAAGAGGGTAAAGTCCAGTCATTGAACATGCTTTATCAAAGAACAATTTAGAAGTGTCCAGAACAACAACAATCGGTGCCCAAGATTGTTTCTACATGTATACAGCAGCTACTGCATATAAAAATATCACTGTGGATGCATAGCTTCATTTAAACCGTATTACCTTGATTTCTGGAACAACACGCAGCGTTTCAACAGAAGCACGTTTTAGAAAAACCGACAGCAAATATAAAGCTCCCACTCAACCTGGGCTCAAAAATAAAACCTTTTTTTTTTCCCTCCACTTCCAAATCAGCTCTTGACATTCACACGTGGCTCAACTTGACATTTAATTTAAGTTTGGTTGTCTTTGCTTTGCTCACACACATTCATCTTCCCTCACTCCTTTTTGATTACCACTTTAAACTGGTTTGTATAAGCGTAAACTAATGGTGATGCAACCATAACAAGCCAATCTGGTAAAAAAAAAAAAAACATTATATATATTTAAAAAAAAAACATAAGAGCCTCAAGTACAGTTGAATTTACTGCAGTTTCAAATAAATGAGCTCTAGAAACACAAAGTTAGTGTTTATGGTCATGTCAGTAGAGTTTTATCAACTCTATCAATTAGAAAATACTAACAAAGGCAAAAAAATGACAGAAATAAAACTAATACTTGTTCGACTGGCACTGAATACTTGAAACTGAAACGACGTTAACTCATGTTTTCATCTGTAACATAAAAACAACTCAACGTAAAGTGCAAAACAAAAACCTTACTATAAACGTTGGAGGAACATAAAAAGCACTCGTAGTCGACATGTAACTTGACATTTTTCCTCACTTCCACCGTCGAGTAAAAAAAAACAAATCTACGTTTTTCCAAAGCAATGAAAGGTTCGATCTGACGTTAAGTGTCTTTGCTGGCTGGATTGAATTTTTGGTCTCGATTCTAAAGAAAATCAAACGGATGTAAATATTTTACAGAGCGCTTTAGTGTCAAACTTAAATGTTGGAAGTCGAGCAGAACATTTGCTGCGTCACAAACAATAACTCACTTCTTAACAGATTAAAGAAGAATTCTTCAGCTTCGGCTCCTAAAGCCGAAACATTGCTTCATAATGAAACAATGAACCTTTTCTCACACAGAGCTGGAGTGCTACACTTTGAACTTTTAGTTTGAATCGATAAAACTCCAAATTAAATATCAATACTTCACATCTGACAGCACTCACTTTTTATGACGCATGCCACCAAACAGAGGTGATGCTTTGCCGGCTTCGTGTTGTGGAACCTTAGTCTTGAACTATACAAACGAGGCTTTTGTTTTGCATTAGGAATAAAGAAAAGGGACAGAACTACAGTAGTTAAACTACAGTAGTTAAACTAAAGTAGTTAAACTACAGTAGTTACTCCTTTACCACAGTGAACAAACGAATGAGTACAAGCAGGGAAATCAGTTTCACTCCGTCCATGAAGATTAAAGCATGTTTGGCCAATAAAGCAACCAGTTTGTGCTGCCAGCATGTAGAAAAGTGTAGACAAGTGAGAAGATCTGGGAGAACTCTGTGATTCTGTTGGTCCACTGTGCTCAGACACTTTCTGCTCTGTGGTCTGTGACGAGCTGGTTAGTAAAAGGAACGTTAACTTCGACTTCGTCTTCTCCGTTTCCTATAGTTCTTTGATTAAAAATGTGTCCTTGTAAGGCGATTGCAGAGGTCCATTAAAGTCCAGCCCATTAGGAAGACCAGCCAGCGTCCCCCCCCCCCGTTGACCCACTTGAGCCTTGGCACGAACTGCAATGGGAAAGAGTGCTGAAGAGAGGGGCCCAAATATTTTGCACATAATCAAGGATACCATGCATCAGCCAACGCTTGGAGCTGGTTTGGGTACACTAAAGCAGCAGGAAGGCCAGAAGAGGACAGAAGAATTACATTAGCTACAGCTCAAACAAGCTAATCCCAGCTGGATTATAGGTAGGACACTGAAGCTGACCGGAGCTGCGACAGGGAACCTGGGTGGGCAGCCATTCCAAGGATCTTCAGGGTAGCTACAGAAGCCCATCCAGATCAGGGAGACCTCAGGGTTTGTGCCTGCTCTAGTAAGTAAGACGAGAGGCCCTCATGTTGTAGCAGGGTCGGTCTGTCAGGCCCCCAGCCCCAGAAAACAGAGACAGGCCTTCTGCTTTTTCTAACACGACCTCCAGCTCCTGAAAGTCCTGCAGCCGAGCCACGTCCTTGTCCTGGAATGAAACGAGACAATCACCCGAAATATCAAAAACAACTCCAGAGAGCCTAATCCAACTGGAAAACACAATGAACACACATATTTTCATTTGAGCGGTTGTACGTTAACACTGTGCGCACGCACTGAACAGACGTGGTACGACCCAACGCGAAGGGACTTCGCTGTACCTTTCTTAACAAGGTGTTGGGCAGTTTACGGATCTTCTCCACGTGTTCGGCACTGATGTCCAACTCACGGCAGCAGACTCTCAGAAGGGACCGGTAGGTGAGCTCCTGACGATCCAGCTCCACTTCAATGAAGTCGTTCTCCCGAGTGTTTGGGTTTTGGATACGAACCTTCAGCACCAACTCTGAAGAGAAGTACACGCGTGATATTGCACCGTTTAAAAACACAGATTAGACAACGATGGGACAGACGGATACAGGGGCACATTTAAATCTTACGAAGAAACCGTGCCTGTTGGGTGAGGAACGTCGTGAGACTGGAGAGACGACAACAAACGTTCGGATAGATTAATGAAAAGGTGACTCTACAGCCTACACCCACCACGAGCCTGTTCTGGTTCAACAAGTCGGCCTCTGCTTCAACACAAGAATGTTTTAATAGCTGCACTCTTTGTGATCACCAAAAATAGATCCAATAAACATGACAAAGCTCATAACAGTGTGATGACTCCAACTTTAAAGCATCAAATAGGTTCTATATATATGTAAACAGTCAGTAACAGTGTGCAAACTATTACAGTAATGAGTTGTAGAATTCCCAGTAAACCCACCTTGAACATTGACAGGGAAGGTGCTGGTGAAGAAGAAGGGCTGAAAGGCTGGCATGGGCCCATTTCCCTGGCTGTAGCCCAGCTGCTGTGAAATAGACTGCTGCCTGCTCATGGTTGGGTTTGTGCTGCCCACAGGAGCCTGAACCTGGCTGCCACCGTTGGCAGCCAAGCCAGGGCACGTTGGCGCCGACGGGGGCGAACTCACGGCACCATTGTGCGCCACTACATGAGAATAATCGGCGTGGTTGACCAGATGTGGCTCAACTGACAGGTCCATAGGCACTGAGCGGCTGGCAACAGCGTGATTGTGGGATGAGGCCACACCGTTTTGCTCAAAAACGGGGATAAATTCACCAACTGGGACTTGACTGTGGTTAACAGGAGGGTTTGGAGGAGTAGGGCCGTTAGAAACCAGACTCTGGGATTTCTGGAGCTCATCTGTCGACGAAAGCGAGGTTGAATCGCTCTGGGTGTCTTCGGCGTATTCTCTAGAGCCGTTTTGTGCATGGTTCTGGATGATCTCCGACTTGCTGTCCATCTTGGAATATATAAAGGGTGGGTTGGACAGATAATTTGGGATAATTGGCAACTCGGGCTCCTTGACTTCAGGCGCTTCCTCCACTTCAACTGTGGGAATAAGAAGCAGAAAGGATTATTCCAATTAGGACTGCTTTAACAATCTCCAAACAAGTCAAGAGAAGTGCAACAACAAAACCAGATATGAGAAAGAAAATAAGTTCACCTCCTAAGAGTCGCTTGATCTCTGGTTTGGACGTCAACTGTGAGGCCAACTCGTCTTTAGCTGTGAGGATTTCTTTATCTGCCCCACAGCTAAGTAAGTAGGACACTATGTGCTTATGGTTCCTCTTGCAAGCCCAGTGCAGACATGTCCTGCAGGGAGGAAACAGTTTATTCAACAAAAACAGACTGGAACAAATCAGGGTTTTAATTTCAGACTTCATTTAAGAGTGACATGTCAGCAAACAGGTTGTTAATATAAGCAGAAAGTTGAAGTCTGTGCAGAGAGAGAAAAAAAATAGACATTCTGATGAAGTTAAAGGCATTTCCGGTTTGGATTAGGAAAATAAAACGGACAAGCCTGGCTGTGTAACAAGCTGTTAAGCCTATTAGGATAAAGTGGAGCATTTTAATCCTGTTGGTTCATAGCTGCTAAATTTAAATAAACTCTGATTTCAAAGACAAAACAGTCGCAACTTTAACGAAATGAAGGCTGAAACAATTCAGAGAGAAAACTCACCATCCATTGATTTCGTTCTGCGAATTAACATTTACCCCGCTCTCCACCAGCGACCGCACTTCCTCCACGTCTCCGATAGCAGACGCTTCTCTCAGCCGCTCCTGTAACTCTTTATCCAAAGTCGTGGACATTTTGGCGACGACAACTAGCGGTGTGGGCTCATATGAAAGATAAATACTTTGCGAATTAGCGAAGTTGCCAGCCAGCGAGGAATTTGGCCCGGCTAACCTCAGCTGCTAGCTAAGTGCTAGCTTGTGGCAGCGAATGGCTTCAGCTAACGTAACTTCGTTTTAGTGTGTTTTTGGCGCTTAAACAGCAAGTTGTGCCCTCGACAATTATTTCTGCCCTCAAAGTTCCACTGACAGCACCCAGTTTAGTCATTCAATCAAACAGAAAGCGCGCAGCTCTGTCTGTGCGCTGTCATAAACACCACCGCCTGGTCGGGGGGGAAATGTTTAGAGGTGACAACACGACGCACTAAGGTTGTTAGTTCCCATCTTAGTTTTTCATTGTATTTTTAGACAGTTACTTAAAAAATAAGTATTTATATCTAGTCACAATGGCTTATTTATTTTTTTATTTTTAATAAATGACTGTTGCTCCGACGAATAAAAAAATACGTTTTGCAATAAACCACACGTGTTGCATCTGCATGCACTCTAAAGAGACTTACTTAAAAGCTGTTGTAAAAAAAGTTCATAAGTTTTTTCCAAAGGTTATGTTTTTATTGTTTCTATTGTCTGTGTCCACAATAATAAACTCGCACCGATAAATACTAATAATGTGAAGTTCTTTAAATGTTCAAAAGCGTTGCAATTCGCAAAAGTGACCACTAGGGGGTAGTAAATATCAGGAATTCTCAAAGTACAGAATCTGAATAATCCCCAAAAAAAATCAATCTGGTCCTCTGGACATTCAACAAAACAAAGCAAAAAAGTGCTTTCTTGCTTTTTTTTTTTTTTTTTTGAATGTCCAGAGGACCAGATTGAACTTTTTTGGATTTTTCTACCTGGACTATTGAGCATGCATCAGGATAAGCTGAATAATGATTTTTTTTTTTTTCGTTTACCAGCAATGACACATATAACATCATTGCTTTTTATGAATATTTTCTCCCAGAAATATTCTATGCATTCAAGCAACAACTATGCATTTACTTTTCAACTTTATGAATTTAGAAAACTTACACTAAACGAAAACAATGACACACGATGGTATCCCTCCGCGCCCCGGCGGTTGTACTTCCGGTTCAGCTCATTGTGCGTGGTGTCATTCCGAAGCCTCTCAGCGGGCGTTGTTTGCTACATCGTCTGCCATTTTGGCTACGAGTACGTAGCGCAGCATCTGGTGTAAACTGACTTTTCTAGTTATATAATAGTAGTTCTCCCAATTAGCATATAATCTTTCAAGAGAAAATGCTTTCTGCCGCCCAGTTGCTCGATGAGTTAATGGGCCGAGACAGAAACTTGGCTCCTGACGAGAAGCGGGCTAACGTTCGATGGGACGACGAGAGCGTAAGTTAGCATTGCGGCTAATGTTAGCCGTTTTGGTTGCGGAATGAGCTAACGATCAAAGCAATGTGTCTGTGTCATTTAAAATCAGTCTCCATCGGATGTGGTAACCAACGGACATAAGTCGTTTTCCTTCAGGTTTTAATGGTTCAAAAATGAAAGCGTGAAGCGTGTGTTTAGAGCCGGACACGCGTGCTAGCGGAAATTACTTCCGTTTGCTAACTGTTAGCTAACGAAGCTGTAAGAAATACTTTAAATCTGCTACTGGGACACGTGATTGACGCCTGAATGACTTTGTGTTTATAATTATCTTTATGATCAGCTGTTCCTACCTGGATTTTTCTCGGATAAGATTTGGTTGAATCCCCATCAGATGCATTTGTCAGTAGGAATCTATTAATTTTAATGAGTAGAATGGCTCGTGACTATTACAGTTGAC